CTGATAAAAACTTGAAAAACGAGGATTCGAGAGCTTCCTGGTAGGTCAACATATTGATGTACCAAGAAAGCAGCATGTCCTGACTTCATCGGGACAGAAGCTGCTATGCTCACGATCCTTCCAGATTTGCCCTGTGTCCTTTTTTTTATCCACCGTTCATTTTCATTCTTTATAATCAAATGATAATTATTAAATATAGCATTTTCATGAGTTCTGTGAGCATTCTAGCAAATTATCAAAACTGAGGGGACTGTGGAAAGCCCCAAATTTATAGCAGTCTGGACAGAAGTACAGTTGCCTTGGAGACACATAGGACTTGTGGCTGAGGGTAGTCTTGTGGGACTGAGGCCCCTTAACCTCTGGGGTCTGAGTCAACTCTGGGTAGTGTCATAATTGAATTGAATTGTAGGACATCCAGTTGGTGTCACAGAACTGGTGTCAGACTGCAAAGAGTCATGTCTGCAAATCATATCATTTTGTAGTCAGTGATAGAGCAAAATGATAAAAATTGGAGATAGCTTCTGGGAGAAATAAGTGAAGACTATCAGAATTATTTGTTCAACATATCAACTGTGTAAAAGCAAGAAGGCAAATTTTTCATGTTCTCAATTTAAACTGAAGCCAATAAATATTTACTAAGCACCAATTATGAGCCAAATACCTTACTAAATGCTAGAGGTTTCCAATAGAATAAATACTTGGAATTTGTAATGTGACCGGAGGAACAGATAGATATATAGGAACAGACAAAACACATGGCCTTACTTTTTTTGTGTGTGCAAATAATTGGACTACTTTTTGTTCATAATCAAAGTACTAGAATGGCTGAATGCAAGTTTGGTGTTAGCTGCCTACATGAGATTTGATTCATTAGGAAAGATTTTTATCCTGTTTTTAAGCAAATATTTACCTTTTCCCTTACTGGTCCACAAAGAATTTGAAGAAAATATTGGTATTAGTTTCTATTTCTTTTGAATGTAGAAAAGCATTACCTGATCCACTCTGGAGGAGTGATAAAATGTTATTTATGTGGATAATTATTAATACCTTTTTAATGTTTATTTATTTTTGAGAGAGAGCACAAATGGGGTGAGAAGCAGAGAGAGAGGAGAGAGAGAATCCCAAGCAGTCTCTGTGCTGTCAGTGCCGGGCTCAATGCAGGCCTCGATCTCATAAAATGTGAGATGATGACCTGGGCCAAAATCAAGTGTCAGACGCTTAACTGACTAAGCCACCCAGGTACCCCTGGGCAAAGTCTTTTTTCAGGTATCCTTCAAAACATCATGTCTATGCTGATAACCTAGTCAGAGTGGAATTTCTCCTGTAATTATTGTGTCAGTGGTATTTTCTAACCTTTCCTGTTCCAAAATTTCCCCCAGCAAGAACTATCAGCTGCTTCTGCAGACATTTTATTTGGTTCTAATTCTTGATCTCTTTTCAGTGAGATATCTGCATGTCACATGCTGTTTTGTTTTTCAGACCTTCCCTTGTCATGGGAATTATTGTTGATTTACCTTATTTTACTAATTTTTAAAAGGATACTTGTGTTTTATGAACTATAACTTTTGAACAACATTAAATGGCACTGAACTTACCTTTATTTTTGAAAAGTGCATACAGGTAGTTTATTTTATAGTTTATAAAAGCACAAGAAGGAATAGCTGTTGCTTTTCTCAAAACCAAAGCTAATGAAACTGTAAATATTTTAGATCTCTTATTCTGTAAAAAAGCAGAATAAGATCATGCACATGGAATGCATAATTGCTTCCTGTTTGTTTGGCAAACTTGCCTTTTATGGCTCTAGTCTGATGTCACTTCATCTACGACACCATCTGCATCCTCGTGAGGCTTCTTTAATACTTAGACTTCTACAGGCTCACATCACATGGCTTTGTAAATACTTGATTTTAAGTCTGTCTGTTAAGCAAAACTATGAATACCTGCAAAATTGGAATCTTCTGTTAATCATCTTTGCATCCTATCAACCCAGTTCAGTGCCTGATACATAACAGTTAATGGATAAGTGTTTCTTGATTGCACTGCTTTGTTTTTTCCGAAGCCATGGGAATAGTCAAAGCTTTTTTTTTTCCTTTTTTCCCCCTTAATTTAACACACATTGTAAATGTGTTTTTAGTTTACTATATTATTTCTGATATAAGTTACTGTTTAAACAAGATATGAGCTAACAGATCTCTTGACTCATTTCCAACTACGTGTCTTATCTTCCAAAGTGGAAACCAAGAGCCTGACCGTACAACCAGGTGATACAGATGAATCAAGTGAATCATATGTAAGAAAGAATGAATCTAAAAGGAAGCAGATGCTTTCAATTATGGCCAGTTGTTGACATGACCTATGATATCAGATTTTCCAAATGTAAAAGGAATCAGAAATTTAGACTCTTAGGTTAAGTGTTGGAACTTAGCCTCAGTAAATTCACGCAGGCCAAATGACACCCCTACAGTTTCAATTGGACTGTGCACTGCCAATGTGTAACTGCTAGTGTATGTGTTGTTTTTGAGAGACAGAGGCATAGATAAATGATACTGTCCCAAGAATCATGCTGGAGGGGTGCCTGGGTGGCTCAGTCAGTTAAATGTCTGACTGCGGCTCAGGTCATGATCTACAGCTTGTGAGTTCCAGCCCCGCATCAGGCTCTGTGCTGACAGCTCAGAGACTGGAGCCTGCTTTGGGTTCTGTGTCTCCCTCTCTCTCTCTCTCTGCCCCTTCCCCGCTCACACTCTGTCTCTCTCTTTCTCAAAAAAATAAATAAACATTAAAAAAATTAAAAAAAAAAAGAATGACACTGGAGTGGATGGTAAGACTAAGTGTTAGTCATGTATAATTTTTTCCCCCATGTATAAAATGGCATTTATAAAAGGGAGGTTTAAGAAATTAATCCAACTTCTTCTTTGTCTAGAGGAAAGAAATTGTGGAATGTATTCTCATCTAGATGGAATGAGTTACTTGAGCTCTTACTTTTTTATGTAACTTAAAAATTAGTAGGACTCAAAAATTTTATTATAGGATCTTCAGTGTTTTTTCTCCACTATAAGGGAAGTTAATACTAAAAAAGAGAGTAAATCACAAATGCAGAATTGTTCATATACACAGAAGGGCAGCATCCCTCGATAAGAAAGTGTTTTCTGAGTGTGTAAAGCATAATAACCATTTAGAGAATGAGGAGGATTTTCAGAGCTGACATTAAGAACAGTGAATTCTCGAAGATGAGAATATTATCCACTGTGAGGTAGAATCTTAATCTGGGGAAGGAATTTTCATATCTCACCAGACAGCCAATCTGACTCATCAATATCCATGCTGGGAAGAACTGAGAAGTCATCTCCAAACCACCTACACGTACTGTTCAAACTAAGCGTTCTCGACACCTTGCCTCCTAAATTAGAGAATATCCTAGGATGTAATGGACACAGACAAAAATTGGGGCATCACTTGCTTATTTTTCCTTTTGCCCTCTCCCTACAATCTCAAGTGAGGATATTCTTATAGTCTAGACAGTCTTCTCAACCAGATGGATGGGATGGATGTGGTGTAATAACTCGTGTCACTACTTGGAAGGGTCTCATCTGTCCAAGAGCCTCATCTGTCCTCTTGGACAGACCTCATTTGTTTGTCCAGGGGAAGCCCAGGGGTCAGATCACCCTCATGCCTTCACAATAAGCAAGGGCAGTAGTCCTCTTTCATTCTTTGAGCAGTAGTCTTTTGCACACAGTCTTCAAATCGGGGTATGGGAGGCTCTCCTTCCCTTCCTCCAGATTTGCTACTTTGGAAACGGGAGCTTACTTCCTTTGCCTTAAACACCAAAGTTAACGTTGTCATTTGATCATAGCTAAGATATGAGTTTTTTATTTGCTTAGCTGTATCTATCTTTTCCAAGGAAAGGTGGCAACAAATGAAACCAGCATTTTTGAGATTACTGTTGGCTAAGTAAAAGATTAACTTCCGTTCTTAAGAAGCCCCTTACAGTCTTACACAAGCATTTGCTCTCATGTCTTCATTTATTAAGGGAAGTTAATTGCAACAAAAATTTTCAAAAGAAACTCCCATACACTGTGATACACACACACACATAATACACACACACACAGTTTCGTTTCTTTTCTTTTCTTTTCTTTTCTTTCTTTCTTTCTTTCTTTCTTTCTTTCTTTCTTTCTTTCTTTCTTTCTTTCTTTCTTCTTCTTCTTCTTCTTCTTCTTCTTCTTCTTCTTCTTCTTCTTCTTTTTGGCATTTAAAGAACTTAGCTGCAGTTTGGTGTGGCTGGGCACAACTTAAAGGTATTTAGAGAAATGAAAACTCACATGACAGAAAGTTGGAAACCCCTGGATGTGGTGGCTCCTACCTGCCTATTTTTGTGTCCTCACATAGGAGAGTATCCAAAAGCGAAGCTTCCAGGTGTAATGATACTTTATGTGGTTTTAGGGTTTTTTTTTACATTTTATTAAGTCCTTTATTGTGTTTGTTCTTTTTATTATATTACCTCAAGTCTTTTGCAGAAATATATATGAAGAGTAAATATTTTTAACCTAGAGAACAAACTGGTGGTTACCAGAGGACAGGTGGGTGGGGGATGGGTGAAACAGGTGATGGAGACTAAGGAGGGCACTTGTGATGAGCACCCAGTGTCTAAGTAAGTGTTGAATCACTAAATTCTGCACCTGAAACCAATATTACACTGTATGTTAACTAACTGGAATTTAAATAAAAATTTGAAAGAGTAAACACATGTTTAATATATGAGAGGATTAACCTTCCTTAATTATTGGGTACTTTAACTGGTGAAGAAAACTTGGTCATGAAAAATAAAGGGACGTATTAAAAATGCAGTTACATACACTTACCACAATGTGTGAAGTCATGTACATGTGTAGCCACCAACCGTTTAATGAAAATATCTTCTTCACATGTATCAGGAAAACATAAGCAGAAAAATGTAAAATATAGAATCCTCACAAATTTTTCCATTTCAAATTTCTGAACAGAAAGAACGAGAGAAAGGTTCTAATTTGGCCTTTATGTTTCGACTTCCTTTTGCTGCTGGGAGGGTGTTCAGCATCAGTATGTTGGACACACTTCTGTATCAGGTATGTAGTGTTTCCTTCTTTTCTCTCTACCGTATTTATCCTAATCTCACTTAGATTTTATTAAATGAATAATCCCTCTAGTGTTTCTCATGCAGCTGTTACCTTAAGATTGGCTTTGGAAGTAATTCAGTGTTTTATTTTGTGTGGTTCATGACAAATGTGCCTGTGAAATATTTTGTAAGAAAAACACTATTTTTCAGAATAATCTATGAAATAATTTTTAGTCATTCTTTAGCATCAGTGTCCTACAGTGTTTACTGTGACATTTTAATACATTCTGCCTATTGCTCTCAGCATATTACCACACTAAAAAAAAGAAGCTAAGAAAAAAATGATTATAGTAAAAAAAAGACACCCTTCTTCATAATGCACATTTTTTGGAAATAAGACACAAAATTGATGTCAATAAACTGATAAACCAAGGATGTTTTAAATATCCATTAATTATTGCATACCTTAGAAAATATATTAAAAAGATTTTGCAACATCTAAAACACATTTAGTTTGTTCCTGAACGCCAAAGTTAACGTTGTCATTTGATCATAGCTAAGTATTTAGAGATGTTATTTTGCACCAATACATTTTAATCTTTTTTTAAGGCTACCAGAAACTGAACAGCAATAATATTTCATATTCTCTGACTCAAGTAATCAGACAATTTATAAATGTTTCTATTAAGAGAAAAAAGGTGTTCATGGAGCTTTAAATTACTTGATAGCTTTAATCTCAAATTACGTATTCAAACATTTTGTTGTGCTATTTTCTTTTTGATTATGTATTTTATGTACCCTCTTCTGCAATGCTTGACTGAATAAACTAATCTGAAGATAGTTAGAGCTGGCCTTCGGGCTAATTATGCCCCTGAATATGCCTCTAGCAATGTCACAAACCATCTGCTTATGCCAGATGAGTCCAGGAACAAATGCAACAGAGGAGAATAAACACTCCTGTTCACCCTGAAGTTTCCAGACACATTATCTGGGCACTCCAAGAGGGGGACCTCCACCCCCACACACCATTCCCACACATATACTTCTGATCTCTTAAGGGATTGAAGAGCAATCCTGAAACTGAAGATTTTATGTCACTAGCAGTCAAATGGTGGATGTCATTATGCACCAATGTTTTTCAGATTTCTTAGCCCTGGTATCTTATGTTTCAATAAAATCTCACTAGAAAGGCTAATATATGGGGTAAATAGAAGGGAAACTGTTCTGTAGAAGTGGAAAGCAGTGGTTATTTCTTTCTCTTCATTATACCTTATTTTTTTGTTGTTGTTATAAATACAAATGTAGGAAGTTGGTGTTTTCTGAAGCTAGCGCCGAAAGCGTGAACTAGAACAATAATTTTCAAAGTAGTAACTGTCTATTTAGCTTTGCCTGACATCAGACAAGATATGTTATGTTTCATTTTTCAGATAGGTAAAGAGTAGTCATTTATGGGTTAAAAAAGATATTAGAAATTATAAGTAAATTTCTAAAATTATATAACAAGCATGCGTGTATTCTTAAGATATATGCTAAATGCCATCTAATTTTTTTGGTTAATGATTTGAACCCATCCTCTTGAGGATAAATGTTTATATTGTGTATTTGAGAACTATTATTAATGACTAGAATTGTACAGTGATTTACTGTTAATGTAATTCTATTCTAGACATAATATCATTTGCTTCCTCAAAGAAAACTCTGATATAGGCAGTGCTATCAGTCACAATAGAGGAGATACAAGGGCTCAGAAAGATAAATTATCCCATGGTTAGTGTGAACCCGCATCTTCAGACCATGCACATCTCATTTGATTACTCACAACCTCATCCCTGGTAAATGAGTCCATATTTGTATAGTGTTTGAGTTTCTTGTGGTACTTTTTTTTTTTTTTTAATTTTTTTTTAACGTTTATTTATTTTTGAGACAGAGAATGAATGGGGGAGGGTCAGAGAGAGGGAGACACAGAATCTGAAACAGGCTCCAGGCTCCGAGCGGTCAGCACAGAGCCCGACGCGGGGCTCGAACTCACAGAGTGTGAGATCGTGACCTGAGCCGAAGTCGGCCGCTTAACCGACTGAGCCACCCAGGCGCCCCGGTACTTTTTTTTTTTTAACTTACGAGAAGGTTGTTTTTCTTTATTAATATCTTCTCAGTCATCCTTTTTCTCCTTCTCACTTGAAACACAGATCACTTGTACATTTTTAATAGTTTTCTTAATTTTTCTCTTTGTGGACCTGGAAAACAAATGATTCAAAAATAAGTACTAATGGGGCTCCTGGGTGGCTCAGTCTGTTAAGCGTCCAACTCTTGGTCTCAACTCAGGTCTTGATCTCAGCATCATGAGTTCCAGCCTCATGTTGGGCTCTGTGCTGTGTGTGAAGACTACTTAAAAAAATAAGTATTATCTGCGGAGGAGTCAGGGAGGGGTGGGGGAAAAAAAGTATTATCGAAAATAAAATTAAATAGATACTAAAGGAAACTGAAAAATATTCTTCTGTGATTGAATTATATGAGATTGAATGCATGGATTTTGTGATATCAGGTGGGACTGTCCCTGTCTTTTTGGCTCATTCGTACCTCTTGTCTTTGACCTGATGACGTTACAGGACAAATGATCTCTGGATAAGGAATACTTCAGTGACAAACACAGTGAACAAATTAGCTGTATTACCACATCTGACTCAAAAATAATTTATAACGGGTGCTCCTGGGTGGCTCAGTCGGTTGAGTGTCCGACTTCATTCAGCTCAGGTCATGATCTCGCGGTTTGTGAGTTCGAGCCCCGTGTCAGGCTGTGTGCTGACAGCTCAGAGCCTGGAGCCTGCTTCGGATTCTGTGTCTCCCTGTCTCTCTGCCCCTTCCATGCTCATGCTCTGTCTCTCTCTGTCTCTCAATAATAAATAAACATTAAAAAAATAATTTATAATGGTCATTTGCCAAATCCTCAGTTTACTTTCTTTTCCATGAGCGCTTTCAATTTTTCACTTTGGAAAATAGTTTTAAGTAGTTGAGAATGTATTTATTTTATTTTTTTAAAATATAATTTATTGTTGGGACGCCTGGGTGGCTCAGTCGGTTGGGCATCCGACTTCAGCTCAGGTCATGATCTCACAGTCTGTGAGTTCGAGCCCCACATTGGGTTCTGTGCTGACAGCTCGGAGCCTGGAGCCTGCTGCAGATTCTGTGTCTCCCTCTCTCTTTGCCCCTCCCCTGCTCATGCTCAGTCTCTCTCTGTCTCAAAAATAAATAAAAACATTAAAAAAATTTTTAAATATAATTTATTGTCAAATTGGTTTCCATACAATACCCAGTGCTCATCCCAACAAGTGCCCTCCTCCATGCCCATCACCCACTTTCCCCTCTCGCCCACCCCCTCATCAACCCTCAGTTTGTTCTTGAGAATGTGTTTTAAAAGTCCTCTTTAGCACACACACTGAGTTACGAGTGAAGTTGGACAGTGCTTGTCACCACTGCTCTTGATAACTACAAGAAGACTAACACACCTTAAAACCAAACTGCCATTTCTTTGGCCTGAGATAAGGGAATGGATGTGTTTCCTTATGTGCTTGTTTAAGTGGGAGGGTTTAGTTTTCTGATGCTTGCTGTTGGTAAAAAGTACTGGACAAAGTAGTCTAGTAAATGTATTTAAAAGGTATTATACCTTTAAAAAAAGTCTTCGCTATGCAAAATAACTAGACAATTATTTAATCTTTTCATTTTTTTAACACTTGAAGATCAAATTCAAGACAGTCATTTTATATAGTTTATGAAATAATTACATGGCATGGTGAAAATGTACTAGTATTGGTTGAAAGTTTTTCTTTTCACTCAGAGCTAAGAATAAATTGAAGAAGTTGGAAGCATTGTTAACTTAATGCTCTGTTGAGTAGTATTCTAGCAACATATCAAAATATATGCTACCACATCAAATAGTTTGATGATGATATTTAATGCTAAAATATTAACCATTAATAATTAGACCTACTGAAATATTAGAAATTTATTCTATTAGCAAGGAGCTTAGTCCCAAAGAAACTCTTTAGAATATCCCCTTGCAAATTTTAGTTTTCAAGGTTTTTTTTTTTTAATATTCTCTATTTTTTTTTAACTCATAGTTTTTTGGTATTAAAAATCTAAAAACACTTTTATCATGACTGATAGCATACATAAAGTTTAAGCATATCAGGATACTCTATAAAACAATCATTCCCCATATTTCCTTATGGACATCTTAACTGTACCTGTGTATTTAAGACACTGACAGGATAGATTTTTATTTCCTTGTTTGTGGGGGCTTAATGATGTGTTATGGGAAGTAACCTTTTACTGGTTAATGGTAAGATGTTCTCACTGAGCTATTCTGTACATTTCATACACATAATAAATACATATTTTGTTTATATTGCAGTCATTTGTAAAGGATTATATGATTTCTATCACCAGACTTCTGTTGGGATTGGATACTACACCAGGATCAGGGTTTCTTTGCTCTGTAAGTTAATATTCGCTGGAATAGAAGATTGTTCTAAGAGATGTTTCTGAAATCCATCTGTGGTATAGTTTGGCTAACTCATATATGTCACTTTTTTCCTCTAATATGTGCTCAAAGAATATCATCATAGTTTTTTTTTAATTCTTTAAAAAATTTTTGGGGAAACATTATTTTAAGTTAATAATCATGAAAATAGCAATTCTATACAAAATTCAGAACCAGTGTCTTTTTTTCTAGCTGGCATTTGAGACAGTTTCTGACATGACGTTTAACCCCTTAGTTTTAAAAATGAGTACACTATATCCAAGCGTATTCAGTGAAGTGACTGGCCAACTATTAAGATTTTTGATAAGTGAAGAATGACTAGTACTTAATTATGCCTTCTGTCTGGGAGCCCCGTACTCATCCTGCTACACCTTTTTCTCATGAGAGTTATTAGGACTTTGGATGGACAGTTTCTTTTTGTGCTGGAGTGTGTTTTGCACTTGTAGCATCTGTAACATTGGCAGACCCTGCCTGCTAAACTTTAGTAGCAGCCTGTAATCATTGCAACATTCACAAAGTCTACACGTTTTGTAACATCTCCCGGTGAACTAACAGTGACTACTGTCTACCGATATTGAACTGATACAATGTGACTACTGTCTACTCTATTGAACTAATATAATGTCCTGCTGCCACAAATTGAGTGGTTGGTCTTCTGAAGTTTGAGGAACCCCAGGGATAAGCTGAAGTGAAATGCTATGACTAAGTTCAATACATGGATAAGCACTTATGAATGTCACTTTGAGATTTCAAAGTTTTAATGAATTCTATGTTTAAAAAGTGAAAAACAACCACTGTATTTTTATTTTTTTAATGTAATTTGTAAATGATTCGTATATCTTATAGATGAAAATCACTGAGGATGACCTATGGATCAGAACTTATGCCAGACTTTACCAGAAGTTGTGCTCTTCTACTGGAGATGTTCCCATTGGGATCTACAGGACTGAGTCCCAGAAACTTACTACATCTGAGGTTTGGAAATACCAAAATATTCCATTTTAATGATTAACCTGATTAAATATAGCCATTTCTAATTTTGGAAATGGATTTCTAAAAAAAATATGTCATAGAAAGTGACAAAGAATGCTTTCTGGACATATAGTGTCATCTCAGAGGCAAAAACTTAAATATTTGTAAGTAAACTATGTCAGAATTTCGCAAAACATTGTTGGCTAAGGGGCTATTCTAGAGTTTATGAACTTTGGGTTCTGAATGCCTTTTGTAGATCTAAGATTTTGCATGTCTAGATTGTCAGGTAGCAAATTAATTTTAAGTAACCTTCTGACACATAAGAGAGCTTCTCAGGGCAAGCAATCTAGCTTTCTAATATACTGCTCACTTCATATACACACATTTGGAAGGAAGTAAATTGAAGTTAGTAAGCATTGAAACTCACATTTTTCAAACTCTAGATTAAAGACTACTCTGAAGCCAAGATAAAACCCTCCAGGAGTAGTACCAGACCTTCCCAGAGGAAAGCTCAGTCATTTTAAAAGCAAAATAGAATCTGTTAATATAGAACAAAATTTCTGATGGCCTCATACAGCTGAAAACATATTCACACTGATCTGGCCCCATAATGTTGTTCTAAATAATTTTTAAATCCTTGGCGAAACATGCACTTAAAAAAAATTTTTTTTTAATGTTTATTCTTGAGACAGAGACAGAGCGTGAACAGGGGAGGGGCAGAGAGAGAGGGAGACACAGATTCTGAAACAGGCTCCAGGCTCTGAGCTGTCAGCACAGAGC